TCTAAAGGATTCTAGGACTACCTGTGCCCTTTCCTTGTCCACTCCCTGGTGCACTCAGTCTGGGGGTGGGCAGCCAAATGTCCCAGGGCTCCGTCCTCCTCCCCTGTGCACTTCTCTGGGGTCGCTGCCAGGGCTGCCCGCACCCCCTCACAGGAGGGGCCGACACTTTCTGCCCCTGGAGCTGAAGAAAGCGGAGGTGGGCTCTCGTCCCTCTGGTAGAAGAAGTGGGCGATGTTCTGAGAATCCTTGAGGGCGGCAGCCGCTAGGAGCTGCTGTGTCTTCTTGGCTTGAGCCTTGGCAGGGGCACTGCCCCTGGAGGCGCCTTTCGTCTTCTTCTCAGGGGCGGGCCCCCCACAATGAGCTCTGCTCCCGGGGGCTTCTCCTCCGAGCCCAGGGTCAGGCTCACTGCTACCCTCATCCTGTAGGACACAGGGCTGGCTGGGGGGCTCCTGCTCGCCTCCCTGCACAAGCTGGAGGGCTTGCCCCTCGGCCAGCATCGTCTCCATCAGCTCTGTGGCCGTCTGGAACGGGCAGGAGCCTTTGGGGAAACCAGCTCCCACCCGCTTGGGTTTGAGCTGTGAAGAGGAGAGAGGGTTTGACCACCAGGCTCCCTCGAAGGCACTCACTGGCTAGTCCAGATATGGCCGTGCTGGTGGGGCTCTTAGGAGGAAGGCAGGGAAAAGCCAGGCCCAACATCGCTTGGGGGTCAGGCTGATGAGAAGAGCTGGGGGCCGGAGAGCATAACTGGCAAGGCGGGGAAGCTCGAGGGCCTGCCCCAGGGCACCCTCGGGCCAGGACTGTGATGCCAGGAGAGGGGAAGATGCTGTGCCCCAGCTGAGGGCAAAGGGAAGCGGCGCCTTTCTCAGACCCAGGTTTGGGGTGGACGCCAGGACCCCGCTCACCGAGTACACCTGGGAGGCTGGCCGGATGTCGTACTCGGTGGGCGCTGGCGGCTCAGCCTGGGCTCTGCAGCTCTTGGCACCGCCGCCCATGTCGTAGAGCTGCCCGTCCTTGGAGGCTCTGTGGATCTCAGCCACCTGGGGCAGGAAGAGGCGGGCATGCCATGGCAACCAGTAGCTCCCGACAGTCCCCAACCCAGGCTTTCCACAAGCGGGCTTCTGTGGCCCACGGCTGCAGGCAACTAGCCACTGGTCAAGTTCTAGTTCTCATGGGGTTGGCTAGAAATACCTCCAACTGGCAATGGAGGGAAATCGGGGTCCACACACCCACACCCTCACATAAGTGGCTTCTCGGGTAGGGGGTGGATTCTGGGCTTTCTGAGGTGGGCACATAGCCCGGGAATGTGGAGGGGCTGCCTCGCCCACCCCCGCCCGGGCCCACCTTCTTCAGCACGCTGGCCTTGTACAGGTTGGCTGCCTTGGCATTTTGGAATGTCTCGTGTTCTAGCTCCACAGCCCTGGCCTGGAGGTCAAGTCTAAGAGTAGGAATGAGTGTGAGGGGTCAGGCAGGCCTGAGTCCTCTCCTTGTCGAGCTTCTGTTGGAGTCAACCTGGGGACCTGGAGGGGGTTCAGGGCCTGGTGGGAATGGCCTTGGGCACCGGGATTCGGATCTGGACTCTGGGCAACCTGCAGTCCCTAAGTTGTGGCCAAGCCTACCCCCTGGTGGGGCTGAGGGTCCTCCATCCCGAGAGTAGGATGGGCCTCAACCTGGGGAGGGGGTGCCCACAAAAGCCAGGGGGCTTGGGGTTCTTCAGATTTCCAAAGGAACAGGCGTGGCCAGCCCTCCCCGGCCCCCATGACCTGGGACACTCACCCGTCTGTGCTGCCTGTGGCCTGGCGGTTACTGCTCAGAGCCTCCTCCAGAAGCCCCAGGCAGTGCTCACGGGCCTGCGGGGGGAGAGACGTTGGTCGCACAAGCCTCAAGGTTGGGGGGCGGGTGTGAGGAGCCACCTACCTCTTACCTTCACAGTGAGCCTGGGGATCTTCCTGCTAGAAGCCTCTTTCAAGGGACAGTCCTCATCTGGGGGGAGAAGGGGTGGTTTCTTCCACTCTACCTTCTCTCTGGAGTCCCCAATCCCCCCCTCCAACCCACCCCCAGGAGGCATCCTCCATCTACACCCTGGAAATAGCCCACAAGTCCATGGAGACATTTCTGTACTGACCTGGGGGAACAAATTCTTCTATCTTGGGGTCTTTGCCCTGGAAGGTAACATGAAGGACCTGTGACGCATCCTACCTGCTGCAGGACAGCACCCAATTCAGCACCAGGGAAGGGCTGAGGGAGTGTGAGCAGGGAGGCCACCCGGTCCGCTGAGACCCCGCCCCCTTCACCTTGCGCAGACTCATCTGTCTCTGGTAGAAGCGGTTCCATTCCCGCTTGTGGGCCTCGTCTCTGCCCTCGTCTCCGCTGCCTCCCGAACCTTCATCACACCTAGGGGACAGGCTGTGCATGAGCAGCGCCAGCCCGGGCTTTGCCCTCCCTCCACACCTCCAGAGGGGCAGTGATGGCCCTGATGCCCGGGCAGCTTGGGCAGCACTGAGGTCTTGGCCCCAGCACAGCATGTGGGGCGGGGGGATTGGCTGTGGCACGGTGTTGCCTCTGGTCTGGCCTTGGCACCAGGGAGAGAATGCCAGGCTGTTTCCAGTGGGTTGGGGGCCCTTGGTTTCATGGCGCCTCACCTGCTGAAGCCCCCATAGCCCTTGCGGCCTCCCTCATACAGCTCAGGGTCGAAGCCATTTCCCTGGGAGGGTCTGATGCAGGTCTTGCTCCAGCTGCCTCTGTGTTCCAAGGCATCCAGCTGCTTCCGCACAGCCGCAGGGTTCTGGCAGTGGTCACAGCCTTTGGTGCAGGCAGGGGGCGCATCTCCGAAGTACTTGGCAATGGCAGCATGGCGGCACCTGGCAGCAGCAGGGCAGAGGCCAGGGGTGAGGGACCCAGTCCCTAAGCTTGGGCTGAGCATCACTACATGTCTGGCACTGTGTGCTAAGCATCACATACTCCTCATCTCATATGCGCCTCACAGGTACCTTGGTTGCCATTCTACAGATGAGGACAGTGAGGTGAGGGCGCTTTCCCAGTCATGTAGTACCTGGGGAGTCCAGAGGAGCCAGGGTGTGACCCCAGTTCTGTCTTGCTTCCTTCTCTAGGGGCTACTCACTCCTCTGGGCCCCCCGCCCCGTCATCTGGCAGTGGGGTATCCTGGGGGGAGCTTGGGCTCTGGGGAACGCTCGCTCGCGCACACCGCTCGCCTGGGAAACAGTGCCAGGAGAGCGCTGCCCCTAGGGCTGATGCGATGATGCGCAGAAGCCCTCTGCACACGTCTGGAGTACAGCAAAGGCTCTTGTTGTTATTACTCGGCACTCTCTTCTAGGGGTGGGAGACAGAGGGAACAGGAGGAGGTGGCCCCACCCCGGCCGCAGCACTCAGCTCCGCTTCACTGTTAATGAGCTCTCCTTTGTTGTCCCCGCCAAGCCTCTGCCCAGCCCAGTGTACACAGCCTGGGGAAGGGGGACTGTCCCCAAGCAGGCACCAGGCAGCTCTGAGAGCTGCCATTGTGTGCTAGACACTGTGAGGCTGCGAGGAGACACAGCCTCAGCAGAGTCCTCCTCATTGAGTCTTCCACTGCCTTGACCTGGTCACAGCCCCTCGGGGTGCTGGCCTCCAGCTGTCTCTCCTGTGATTCCCCAGGTAGGGGGCACAGTTGGTCCTTGGGACAAGTGCAGAGGTCCCGGGGCCACAGCTCTATCAAGACCCTTACACATGACCAGACCAGCCTCAAGAATGTGGCACAGGGGCGGGGAAGGGTGGGGAGAGGGGCAGAGCTGTTCAGGTGCCACATCCCAGGGACAAGAATAAGAACAGCTGGTGTCACGGCTCTAACCAGAACGCCCCTCAATGTGAGCACTGCCTGGGGCTGCAAGGAGCCCTATAAGCAACTGAGACCCCAAGGAGCAGGCTCCAGGGACAAAAGCTGATTGTTCCACAGCCCCTGGGAAGTCAGGTCTGGTTGCCTGTTTAGTTGAATCTGGAGAACATGGCTCTGAACAGCACGAGATGGCAAAGATGCCAAGGCAGCCACCAGAGGGCGCTGTTCCCACTGCTCCTAAAATCAATATGCAAAGCATTCTGTCAACCAAGTCTGCGTGTCTGCATAGTGGCCGCCTGTCCGGCCTCTGGGAGGCTCTGGCATCCAAGTGGTGTGGCCACAAGGTTGGCTTCCTTCCCCCCTCCCCCAAGCCCTGACTCACTGGGGTTTTGTGCTCACACTCAAAGGGCTCCATTGACAGCTCGCAGATGCGGGCTGGGGTCGGCTCCTGTCCTGCTCCAGGCATAGACTGGTCGGCTAGGGTGGCACGACTCGCCAAAATGTCAAAGGGCTCTGCCAGCCACTGGGCTCTGGAGCCTGTCCCTGACAGCCGGGCCAGGAGTGAGGAGACAGCACAGTGGACACCCTTTGGCAAGGAAGCCAGCAGGGTCCACTTTACTCCAGGCCCAAGGAACGTGAGGCACCTCCCTACAGAGCAGGCCAAGCAGAGGCCACTCCCATGTCACTCAGGACTCCCAAGTTCTTCCCCAGGACCCTCCCAGGGGGCTGGCTGCTTGGGTGGTCCGGCACCCCCCCACACACACTATTTACTTTCCCTGGAGAGGCCAGAGGGAGGGACCAGCCAGGAAGTCCCCTGAGGGACAGGTTGGGGCGGTCAGGGATGGGGGCCAAAAGGCTCTCCTAAGGGTTGGGCAGGAGCCGCAGGGCTGGCGCTTTGGGGCCTCTCTCCTCTCCACACCTCGTGCAACCTCCCTGGGGTCATCCTTGCCTGGGAACAGGAGAGCAGACCTCCTCCATCCGCTCCCAGCCCAGGCCCAGCCCACGTGGCTTAGCACACACCCACCAGGAGAGGAAGAGGAGGAGGAAGAAGAAGGGAGGGAGCTAGGCCGGAGCTGAGGACCTCCCCAGGACTAGTTCCCAGCAGGGACTCCCTCCCCAGCCCGGGCGGCAGGCAGGGGCACTGACTCCCCACTTCAGTGGCCGCCCCGTGTAATTTGACACTTGGATCTCTTGGAGACCAGCAACAAAAAGCTGAAGCCGAGACAGCAGCTGGCTGTCAGCAGCCAGCAGCTCTCGGCTCTGCTTGCACTGAGAAGCGGCGCTGGGGGAGCAGCGGAGTCACCAAAGAGGTGCCTGCGAAGCTAGGGAGAAGTGGCCTGAGGAGAAGAGGCCCTCTGAGGCTGCCTGGCTCCCCAGCACCTGCGGTCACCCTCCAGCTCCAACACCTGAGCTCCCAGGTGAGTGGCCACAGATGACGGGGGATGAAGTGAATGGAGCAACCAGGGTCCACTGCCCTAAGGGTGGAGGGCCACAATTTACCGGGGGTCGGGGGGAGGGGGAATACTTGGTCACAGTCTCTGGACGGACTCCTGTTCACACCTGGGCTCTCCCTTCTTTTGCTGGGAGTCAGCCCCGGGGGACAGACCAAGGCCGCAGCCCTCTGCGAGGGTGGTTTCCGCACTGCTTGCTGAGCAGGCAGGGGGACCCGGGGTACCTGCTTACTCTGCAAATTAGTTTAAGCTTTTCTATTCAGGGGGCTTAAACGCGGGATTTGGCTTTTCTCTCCCAGGCTTGCGAGAGAAAAGCGCCTGCCCACTGAGCCTCCCTTTTCCAGGACCAAGGCAGAGCGCCCCCGTCCCTGCTTTCCCCCAGTCCAGGAGGGTCAGGGCAGGGTCTGCCCAGCCATTTCTTATGCCCCAGAATGTGGCAGGCCCCAATGCAGCTCTGCCTATCTGTGTCCTAGACGAGAGCAGCAGCTGCCACCTCTTGTGGGGGGCTTGGCCCACTCTTGCCAGGTGTTCTCAGCTTAGGGCTCTACCCAGGTGCTCCTCCCTGGGCCCTTTTATATCCCCGGAAGCCCCCAAATCTTCCTGAATTCTGCACCAGAAACATGAGGGCCTGACTGTAAACCCAGTGGACAAGGCAAGGACGGAGGGACTGAGGCTAGTGAGAAGGTCCGCCCTGGCCACCTGGCCCTCTGCTGTGCCATTGTAAGGCTGAGCCCGAGGGGGTTCTTCGGGCAGCACCGACAGTGGCACTCCTGGGCAGGGCCCGGTGAGCCGAGAGAGCCGAGGCTGGCTGCCGACTCCTCCGGCCTCCCTGTCCTCATGCCAGGGTTAAAGTCTCCCTCCCCGCCCCCCAGATGTTTCCCCAAAGCAAACAAGCTAGTATCTACTTAGGAAGAAAAACAACAATCCAGGGGAAAGTGGGAACCAAGGATCAGTCCAAGTGTTTTTGGCTCAGCGGAGGTTGTGGGATTTGGCCTGGGTGGGTGGCTGGGGACACTGCATGTCCTGCAGCGATGGGCAGTGCACGGTGGCGAGAAGGCACAGATGCTGGGCTCTGTGGGAGGCAGCAGGTACGGTGGATGAGGGAGGGGGACAGTGGGGAGCCCATGGCTACCTCTGTTGGTTCTAATCCCCAAGACACCATGTGGGTCCCTGCACCCACAGGACACAGGTGGACAGGGCTCCCCTGAACACAGTCTCTGAGCTGGGACGGAAGGATGACGCCCAGCTTCTGGGGCTTCTGGAACAATCGCCAGCAGCAGGAAATGCTTGCTCCTGTCCTGGAACAGGGCTGGGGAAGTGGGGACTGCTGAGGGTTCAAGTGTCTATGTCCCACTGCAAGTTGGAGCCAAGGCAGAAAAGGGGTGTGTGGGAAGGCTCTGCGCAGCGCACACGGGGCACCTCTGCCTTGCTGGTGAGGCCTCTGGACCCCACAAATCTCCAGCCGCCATCGGTTATTATTCATTCTGGCTGTTTCTCAAACAAGACAATGCCCTGGGGGCAAGGGTGGTAGAAAACAGAGGCGGAGCAAGAAGCCCTAGGGGCCCTGAGCCATCGGCACATGGTACTTATCAGTCACAAACACACACTGGCTTAGCCGGGAGTTGGAGTATCAGTTTTGCAAGAAGGAAACAGGGACGCTTCAGTACCAAGTGGCAGCTGTCTGTCCTCCAGAATGCCTGCCTGCTCTGTCGCAAGGTTCTCTGTGCCAGGAGATGCCACACAAAGGAATGCTCCCTAGTCCCTCCAGCTCTGCCAGCTTTGCTCGCTGCCCTGCTCACGTTTCCCCTCCATAGGCTGCCACTCCAGCAGGGAGCACTGCTGGGCTGCACTCCCTTCCTGGGGCCCAGGGAAGCCACCACTTGCTCTGGCTGCTTCCAGCTGAGGCCCTACCGAGCATGGGGTTGAGAGGGTTTCCCTGGTTCGCAGGCAGGAAGTATAGTTTTGGAAGGAGTTTGGTGGACCTGAGATAGAAAGACTGGAAAAGTACAGAATCATCAATAGCCCCACCAGACTTTCCTGCCTGCCTCCCTCCGAACCTGGGGAGGTGCAGGGGAGGAGAGGCAGCCAGCCCCAGAGCACCCACTTTCCCCATGCCACAGCTGGGAACACTTAGGGCTCCCTGGGGCAAAGCCACTTGGTCACCTGACGGCTGCTGGCTATATTGGGCACCAGGAATCAGGCACCCCCTTGGCCTTGCTTTAAATAGCCCACTGGGAAGACCGCCTGAGACCTGCTGGAATGTGCCTCCTCCCTCTTAGGAGAAAGGGGCCCCACCAGCTCCCTTTTGGTCCCCACTAAGGCTCCTTCTGCTCAAGCCCAAGCTGGAAATGACAAAACATCCACTGAAAGGCCAGGGGGGCTCCTCTTTGGTCTTTGGGGCAAAACAGTAGTGTCCAGTGGCCCCACTCGTGTCCTGGTACAGACAGGATCCAGTGAGAAGCCCTGTGGCAGACCCCCGGGCTGGGTGCAGCTGGCCAACTCAGATCTCCAGATGCCCTGGGTACAAAGCCATGATGCCATCCACAGCCAGGGCCGGCCGCTGGTGTGGATCGACTGTCTTCCCAGACTGGGGGCCAAGTCCTCTGGGCAGGAGTCTGCAGCCTTCTGACGTCATAACCCCTGGAGGATGGCTGACCTCAGACCTGAAGCTTCTGATCAACAAACTCCGCCTTTCCTGCACAGCAATTTCACCTCCACACAACCTGGGCACCCTCCCTCCTCCCTGCTCCGGAGACCTGCCCCTGAGACTGGCCCGGGTCTCCACACCACGCCCCTCTACAATCCCGCCTGTGTCCCTGGGCGTGGAAGCCCCAGTGAAAAAGCTCTCTCGGCCTCTTTAAGGAGTGTCTCTGATGGCTACATTAGGCCATGCAGGCACGGGGCCAAACAGGCTGAAAAAGCCACACCAAGTGTAGACGAAGAGGGAGGGGAGAGAAGCGGCCTTGCTCCTCAGCCCTCTGCAGACTCTCCCCGGGAATGAGACCAGTGGGTGGGCTACCGTCCACCTGGGAACCTGGGGACTGGGGATGCCCACAGGCTCCAGAACAAGGGCGGAGCCCACCTTCTTGGTGCAAGCCAGCCCCCACTGGTCAATGGGAGGAAGTCTGTTTGGTGTGACCACAGGAGGGGGGGTCCTATGCTCGAGAAGGAATTTGGTGTGCCTGAGATAGAAAAGACGCACAAGATCTGGCCCTTTGGTGACAAGAGCTGTCCCTTTGGTGGTTGTCAAAGAGCAGGTGTGGCCCTGGCCTGGTGAGCAATGTGCCCGATATGATACAGGCAGAGCCTCAGGCTGGGGCTGCTCATGCGGAGCCCATCTGCTTCCACAGGGCTGTGTGGCCCAGGGCCCTGGGCTGGCTTATCTTGCTGGTCAGAAAGTGGGCTACCCAAGACGGGCCATCAACAAGAGACAGTGCGGGGCAATGGGGGAGTGCTGGCCAAGGCCCCTGTCATCAGAGAAGTCACTTCCTCTCTCAGCTCTCAGTTTCCCCATTTGTAAAAGAAAGGAGGCAGGAGTGGATGACTAGTGGCATTCTAGGATTCAAAGTCCTAGTACATTTGAAAACTGGGATCCGGCTCTCCTTTGCAGAAACGTGCTGGCCCTGGGGTAGGGCGTGAGAGGGGCTAGGAGGACCTAACTCCAGGAGCCTCCCACTTTTGACAGGAAGCCATCTAACTTTCCATGGAGCTGCTACCCCCATCATCACTTAAAAACATAGCGTGCCACCTCCAGCTTACCCGCTCTTCCTTCACTCACGTATCACATTCTGGAATGAAGGACACAGATGCAACTCCCCAGAGGTGTTTGGGGAGGGTCACTGACACAGAGAGTGGGCCAAGCCCCCCACAAGAGGTGGCAGCTGCCCCAAAGGCCACCTCGACTCTCCTGCACTGTCCTGACCCCAGCCAGAGGGGGCACCTCCCTGTGCCAGGCTCTGTGCTGCCAGGTGGTCAGTCCTCCCAACAGCCTCAAGAGACAGGCATCTCATCTGCATGTAAAATGAGAGAGACTCAGAGATGAAGTGACTCATCCAGTCACCAAAGCAGGAAGTGGGATGACAGCATCCAAATAAATCCAGGCTGATTCAAACAGTGCTCCATGGGGGGCAGCTGATAAAACTGGAAGAGAACCCGCTTCGTGGAGAAGGAGATGCAGGAGGCACACGCAAGCTGCCTTCCAGGTCCTGAAGGACTGAGAGGCAGAAGAGGGGCAGAAGTGTCCTAAGTAACCATAGGTGGGACTGGCGTGGTCAGCAGATCCCACGAGCTGCCCAAGAAGGAACGGGGTGGGCTGCATTAGGGGTGGGGCTCCAGCAAAGGCTGCACACCAGGGAGGGCAGGAGCCACGCGCAGGGGAGAGGGCCCGAGCAGCCAGCATTTGGGCGGTTCTAAGGCAGCTGCTGTGGCAGCACCGGCGTGACCGGCTTCTCAGACCACAGCCATCTCGGGAGAACCGGCCAGCTGAGACTGGGGACAAGGTGGCAGGAACTAGAGCCTCAGGTCTGGCACACACCCCTGGCTACCTGTTCGCCTGCCTTGGATTAGAGCTGCCTTCATGAACAGGTTCAGGCTGGGTTGGCACAAGACTGTCCCCGGTCCCTCTCTAAGAGGCACTGGCTCCCTGTGCTCGAAGGTGAGGCAGAAAGGGAAAGACAGCTCTGCTGCCTGACACGCCACTGACAGACTTGGCCTTGACCTTGATGTTGGCCTCCTGGGCTCCCCAGACAGGAGGAGGCTCTCAGTCAGGGGTGTGGAGGGCTGAGTTGCCACATACCTGGGGCAGGTGTGGGAGCAGAGGGGACTCTCTTGGACACACCAGAGGAGCAGATCCGAGCCAGCAAAGGAGGGAGGGGCTGGCTAGACCAGCCCTGGGATGACTGAGCTCATTCTGCGAGAGGACCCCTTGGGAAAAACTGAAGGGACACAGTATCATCTCTTCCTCCTCACACAAGAACGCCGTATGAGCAAAGAAACTGGGCTGGTGGGAGAGGTGGGGGCCTCACACCACCTTGCCCAGTCGGTTCTCCCCTACAGCTGACCCTGGCCAGAAGCGTCCCCAACCCCCAGAGCCTGCTCTTGGGAGACGCTGATGCTTCTTGCCACACATTTGTTACATATTAATAAAAGGCAAGAGCACCAGGCTGGAATCCTGAAACCTTGTCTCTGGGGAACCTGGGGGCGGTACCCCAAGTCCTGAATGACCCAGGGGCTACCAGGGGAGCTGTGCCAGTCCAAGGCACCCTGGAAAAACCTAAGGCTAGCGTCTGACACAAAGGAATGTAAAAGTGAAGTCACCCCGCCTCGCAGTCAGAAACTCTGGCCAACTCTGGCCGCTGGCAGCCCCCTCCCGTGCCCAGCTCTGCCCAGCAGCCCCCACAACGGGGTCTCAGGCTCACTGTCATCACCAGCATCTCTCATCCTGGGCAGTGCCAGCACAGAGCAGAGGGGCCCCACCAGCTCTCCTTCCTTGAGCCACCAGGGGTGTGAAGGGTGAGACCTGACAAACTCGTTCCGCGGGCTGCAGGTGAGTGAGGGCGGATTCTCTGGAGCCAGCTCCATGGGGACTCAGATCCTCTCTCTCTCTCTCTCTGTTAGGCACAGCCTGCCAGGAGCCCCGGCAGGAAACCAGCTCAGCATGGCAGCCAACAACTTCGTGCAGGAGATGCGCTCAGTGGGCGAGCGGCTGCTGCTCAAGCTGCAGAGGCTGCCCCAGGCCGAGCCTGTGGAGATTGTGGCCTTCTCGGTCATCCTCCTTTTCACAGGTCAGTTGGGGCTCTCAGATCTCCTCAGCACCCGAGGCTCTTCCCGGCATCCGGGAGCCGAGACCATGGTGCTAGCCAGAGGGCTGGGGGAGGTGGCTGGGTGTCCCCCAGGCAGAGGGGGAGAAGCAGGTGTCCCTTGGGAGAAACCAAAGGCTATCTCCCAGTCCTCTGACATGCTGCTCGAGTGAGGCGGGTGGTACTGGGAGCCAGAGGCAGCCCAGCATCCCAACCCAAGGATGAAGGGAGCAGAGTTCTGAGGCGGAGGAGGTACGACAGGGCGGAGGTCAGGGCCCTAGTGGCTGGCACACGGATGGTCAACACCTCTCGTCAGGCCCTCGGGTATTTCTGACCAGTGAGCTGGACCTTTGAGCCAGACCTCCAGAGGGTTCTTCAGAAGGAAGTGGGCATTCTTTCTCTTCCCACCTCGGAGTTTGCTGTGCCCTGTGCCTCTCTCCCCCAATCCTCCAGCCACGGTTGTGCTGTTGCTGGTGGTAGCCTGTTGCTGCTGCTGTGCTCAGCCCAGAGGCAGGAAGGCCCAAGTGCGGCCCGTGACCCCACGGTGAGGGATGAAGACCTGACGGAGCAGAAGCTGGAGAGGGAGGCTGCCGGAGCCGTGGCCCACGTGCCAGCCTGGCCCTGCAGCCCTCAGCCCTCAAGACCAAGACCCACCGTCTCAGCTCTGGCGCTGCCCAGGACCGGACACGGGTACCTGGAGTCTTATGGGGAATAAGGGCTGTTTCGGCCACGAGACCTCCACCTGCCAGTGAACACAGTGCTCAGGAGGAGCCGACTGTTCTTGGGACTGAGCAAGCCGCCACAGTCCTCGGCCTACCTGCACTTTTTAACAAAACACGGACGTGGGGTCCCCAAACCTCGATGGAGAACAGCCTGCACCTGTGGGGAGCTGGCCCTCAGGGTTTGGCTGACCCACGCGGAAGAGGAGCAGGCCAACCAGAGGGACTTTGTGCCACAGCCATGGGATCCCTAGCTCCCCACCAGAGAAGGGGGCACATCAGTATTCTAGTCCAGTATTTGCCTGTATCTTTCCCAGTAAAAGCTTTTTGGTTATGCGTTTCTGTGGCGCCAGACTCCCTGGGCTGGGCTCTGTGCATTGGCAGGGCTCTGGGCCAGAATTCCAGGGGCGTGGCCAGGGACTGTCCTTTCAGGCCTCTGCTCTCCCTGTGCCCATGAAAGCTGGAAAAACACACAGGCAGGAATGCCACACAGGAGGGCATGCCATGGAACCAGTGGAGGGTGCAGTGGAATTCCTGTCAAGCACTAGTTGCTCTAATAACAAGCTCTGTCTCCCAGGTGCCCACTCTGCAAAGATGGAGGCTGTGCGTGCCCCAGGCAGGCGCTGGCTCAGGTACCGGCCACTTAACAGTTTCCACTGCCATTCACTTTAGCCTGCACATCCCACACTAGCAGGCTCAGGCCACTGGGTCTTCCCAAACTTCTGGAGTAAAAGAAGAGAGGTCAGGCCCCTAATGCTGTCTATTACCTACATCCCAACCCCCTCGCGCTTTCCCCACTCGTGTGCCAGGCTGTCTGGGTTCAGAGCCTCGCCCCCACCACTCACCAGCTGTGTGAGTACAGGTCAGTGACCCGACCTCCCCGAGCCATGGTTCCTCCCTGTGAAATGGGGCTAATTCTGGGACCTGCCTCCTGGGCTAAGCTCATGAGGATAAACTCAGATGATGGTAGGGGAAGCAGAGGCCCCCATGGCAACCCCCATCCTTCCCCACTGGCCCCCAGAACCATAGGAGGTCTGCATTTTTTACACACCTCTGTCCTCTTGGCCTGGGCAGCACCCCATCCATCCAGAAAACAGGACTGGGGAAGGGATACCTGCCACTGCCCCCTCCAGCTGGACGGCGAGTGGGAGTCACTCTCGCTCTCTGGCTGGTTTCACTTCCTGGTGTCCATAGACTTATCTGACAGGTTTGGTGTGGACTGAAGAACCAGGAGGAAGTGCCTCCATACAAAGCAAAAGAAATTCAAGAATCTGCCTGGACCCTCCACCCCCTCTAGGATTCAGCTTAATAATAATAATCCAAGTGATGATGGTGATGGTGATGATAAAGATAACCGAAATTCACTGAGGGCTTCTACATGCTCAGGCTTTGTCTTAAGAATTCTAATGCAGATAAATTCATTTCATTGTCACAACAACATCCATGCTATAATACCACTATTACCCCCATTTTAAAAATGAGGAAATTGAGCCTTAGTGACACTAAGTAACTTGTCTAAGTTCAGCCAGCTGAAGAATGGCAGAGCCAGCCTCTGGGCCCAGCAGGCTGGCCGTAGAGTCCCAGCTCGCCTGCCATACCCCGGGCCTGAGGCCTCCCACTTGGCAGTGTCCATTAGGCTCTGATTCTATCACCCTCCATCAACCAACCCTACAGCCCAAACACCCACACCCAGAACTGTCTCAAAATAACCTCCCTGTGAGTGAGCGGGTGGGGCCCAAGGAGGCCTCCCTCCCAGAAGAAAAACATGGGAGGGACGGCATGGGAAGCCTGCCTTTTCAGTCCCTGCACCAACAGCTGGAGGGTCCCTAGGAAGCTCTGGGTTCAGCAGCTTCTCCCACAGCGCAGCAGCCCAATCCCCCATGGGACTTTTTGACTTAAGCAAGTTTCCATCAGTATCAAGAATGTTCCTTTCTGAGGGTGGCCAAGCCTCTTTGATTCTGGCTTCCTGGTCCAGCTGCCAAGAGGTGGAGACCACGGACAGCCTTGAGCACTGACAGGCTGACCAGCCGGTTTCTTTGTATTTTCCTCCTCCATGCCAGGCAGTACCTAAATGCAGAGTCCAAATAAGATGCTGTCCCTGCCCGCAGACGGCTGACTGCTCCCCATTCCCTGGCACACCGGCACACACTGAGCCCTGCCACCGGTGGCTTCGCGAGCTGTCGGGCCAAGTCCCGGGCAGAATTCATTCCCACTCGGCTCAGCCAACCAGGTCTGCCGCAGATACAGCAGCCTGGCACACTCCCGGCCTGGGCGGCTCCCAGCACGGGTCTTTTCTGGGGAAGACTGGGCATGGAGAGGAGCAGTGGTCCCTCCACTGTGGGAAAGAATAGACAGAAAGGCACAGCAAGATGGGGGTGGTCATGAAGGGGCGGCCGTCAGGCTGTCTTGGGCCCAGAGAACATCTGGCTGACCCTGGATGCCACATCTCTCCATTCCCACTGCCACGGTGCCCTCAACCGAGCCACCATCAGTGTTTGCCTCCGGTCACTGCAGCAGTGGCCTAGCCAGTCTCCGCACTCACCTCACCAGTCTCTGCATGTCCCCCGCCCCCAACTGTGGCTTCTGCCACCACACAGCGGTCTCTCGGTCCCTCAATCGGTTTCACAATGCACTTAAGATATGTGCATTTTACTGTCTGTACATTATTCCTTATCAGACACTACAGTAAGGCGACCGGTGCTAGAATCGCATGAGTAGAACTTGGCAGAGAGCACACAAAACGGTTTTCTCCTAAATCTGTTTTTAACATCTGAAAGCAATCTACAATGAAAGTCTTCACGACGACCGACATATTTGCTTGTGGGTAATACCAATTCCAGACCATAGAAAAACTGAGGACAAATGAATTTTGTCCTTAAAAACAGTTCCCTCACTCTCCTTGGGACCTGCTGCCTACCATGGAGCCCTGACTCCTAATTCTACTTCTTACATAGTCTTCAGGTCTCAGCATACACATCACCCCTTCCAGGGGAGTGCCCTGGGCCCCGGACCAGGCTCTGCCTTCTCCCATCATCCTTCCCTCATGAACACTTCAGTAGAATTTTCTGATCGGGGCCAGCAATTGACTGAAAAAGTAGCTTAAGCAACTGTTGTGTGTATGGCACGTGCACTCTGTACACATCTCATTTTAAACTGAAACATACATATGCACATTCCTTGGTTAATTTTTTCGATGTAGGGCCAGGTCTTTTCTCTGTGGGTTTCCTGTATTGTCTACGTGCTAGTTTGGGTTTCCTTAAAGCACAGCAAGAACTCAAAGAAATCCTTCTGGAATTTTACAAAATGCTTACGGTTGTCCACATCAAAATAATGTTTTGACAGGAATTTTACTTGAGTGATTCCCAAGTCATTCGAAAGTGGTCCAGTCGGTATTTATAGAAATAACTCCCTCTCCCCACTCACTCTGAGGCACAGCACAGCCTCAGAGCCTGTGGAGCTGCGCTGAACAGCTGGGTTCCAACCCCAGTGCAGTTCCTTCTTAGCTGTGTGACTGTGGCTAAGTTACTTAACCTCTGTGACTGTTCCCCGGCTGTAAAATTGGGGTTTCGGATATCTTGTCGCTTCATTTTTTATGTGTTGTTAAGTGCAGTTCTGTAATTACAGAACTGCCACAAACAGGTTTGGGAACAAACAGCTGACTCCTGATAAGCATCCAACTTAACTGATGGAGCTGGAAGTGCAAGGAAGTCCTAGAGACCAGCCCACTGGCTGGGAGCACTCAGCAGGCCAAGGGCATTAGTCAGGGGGTTTCACAGAAGGAAATGCGAAGCGTCAGGCAGGCCAGGGGTCAAGTAAGCCCAGGATTGTGCAGAAGGACTTCGATGAACTTGCCCATCAGCGGTCTCCTCCCACCCAGGCTGCCTGGCAAGCTTTACAAAGCACGGGGCTCTGACACGTCCAGAGACTGATGTAAGTGGTACAAAGTAGGGCCTGGGCACGGGCATTTAGAAAAGCTCCTGGATGATTCTACAAGCAGGGCTGCGGACAGGTGCGCTGGAACGTAAGCTCTGGGAGTGGGAGGGCAAGGTCTGCCTGCCGTGGTTCACAGCTGGACTGCCGGGCCTGGCACAGCTCCTGGCCACAGCAGGCACTCGAATCCTGTCTTGTAAAGGAGAGAATGGTGGCTACCAGGTTTCACGTGCCAGGGCACTGGCTCCATTCCCACTTCCTAGCTGCCCTGTGGCGCCCGTGGGTAGGAACCAACCACACGAAGCTGCTGAGGCCGCACCTGAGAGGCAGGCCCCAAAGGAGAAGTCAGGGCTCCCCAGGAACCCAGGCCTCCATGGTGATCAACGCTTCCACCCAGAAACTCGTTCCAGGAGGTGCCGGCAAGACCTGCAGTTAATTATTATTCAGCAGGCACCAGAGGAAGGGAGCAGCCTGTGTGGCAGTTCCAGCCCCAGGGCTTCCCGAGTTCTGGAAAGGCTCTTTCAGTCGACAGGTCATCTAAACAGAAGGGGAGGTAGGGCCCAGCCACAGGTGAGGCGGACAGCAGGCCTGGGCAAAGGCTCTGGATCCAGCCTCTTCCTCTACTCACTGCAAGTCTGACTTCTCTTAGTGAGGACACCACCACACACAAATGACATCACAAAAGGGCAGACACAGCTGAGGGGTCAGGGTGAAGGGCAGAAAGGGACCAGGGGTTGCTAGGCAATGGGCCCTGGCCCACCTTTGTTTGTTCTGGTGACAGCAATGAGGTCTGGTCAGGGCCACTTGGCAATAAGAACACCTTTTCCTCCAACAGTTGCTTCTTGAAGTCAGAGTGCAGCTCTGGTCAGCTGCTGGCCACTTTAGCTCAGGCCCCCAAAGTGTGGGGCCCGACAGATTCCCTCTCCTAGGGAGCCGGAATTTGAACAGGCGGATTCGGTTATTAACCCAATCCTTCTTCCCTTGTCTTCCCTATATGCCGATAAGAGCGTATCCCGTGCCGCTTGTGACATTTCTATAAAAGCTGTTATAGTTGTTCTGTTTACCGCCCCCTCGAGAAGTTTACCGAGGTCTCAGGTTCAGTCAGCCCACTCTCGGCAACTATGGCCACCTCTCAAAACGTTTCCCAAATGTTTGGCACTTGAGGCAGGAAACAGAAAGGATCTAGAGCGGTGCTTTTTAGATTCTAGCTGAGTAGGTCTGAGGGATGGGAGAGGGGGTCCTTGCTCATACCAGGACTGTTCAGGAAAGGGGTGGGGAAGAACCCAGAGGTAGCCTCCAGGAAAAACCCAAGGGTCCCCTCTGTGGATGTCAGTTGGTCTCCTGTTTCCACAGGGAGGAACGTCCATTTGTTGCTCGCTGGAGGCATCGAGCCCAAAGACACACCATCCCTTCGGTGTCTACTAGCTGCAGAGGTGGGCCAGCTGTTTGGAGATTGCTCCAGAGGGTGAAGTTGGGGGTGGGGGCATGGAGAGTAGCACCTGGGCCACGGCCTTTGCAAGGCCCCTGCCCTCAGGGCTTCTGTCGCCTTTTCCAGGTTCACATGGACACACTGATAACTAAACAGAGGGACATCTGGAATGATGAGTTCTGGGATAACCCCTGGGACCAGGGGAGCCTGGTAGTGATCGGCTTATTCATCACCATGTTCCTGTTTCTCTTCTTGTTTGCTACTATGTTTGGTTTATGCTTTCCGCTTGAGAAGAGCAACGAGTATGAAGAGTCGTGACCTGCCTTTCTGGGGGCCAAGGATGGGGCCACCTGTTATCCACAGTCAAAACCCCCTGTACCTTTTCCTCAAAACCCTCTTAACAGTCCAGAGTTACACATGTTCTTATGTGATTATCTGATAAGTGCCTGTCTTCCCCACTGGACCAAGTACCATAAGAGCAGGGGTTGGTCCCTTTGTGCTCACCACTGTGTCCCCCACGACCAGTGCACCTGGCACAGAGTATCAACCAATATTTGCTGGTTGAATAAATGAATAAATGAACGACTGAGCAAGCCAACAGATACACAGAAAGCTGCTGGGCTATTGGCTCCCCCAGCGCAGAGTCCAGGAGATGACATAGCCCAGTTCCACCTAGGCCTAAACACAGAACACAGAGCTGTTTTCCATCTCAGACAAGGTGCCAAGGCCCCTGGGCCACAGGTTGCTTCCAACCCGATGACCGTTCCTTTTGACACTAAAAAATAAAGATCCCTGTTATGAATAATCGAATGCTCTGCGTGGCCAGCGCTCAGAGAAAGTAGCTGCAGGTAGAGGAGAGAGGAAGCCTGCTGGCGTCCACCCTGGTCACATTCACCTGACGCAAGTGTCTTTTCTGTTGGTCTAGAGCTCCCCAGGTACCCCTCACAGGGTCCCACAGCCACATGTCCCCAGACCCTACAACGCCGCCTTTGTAGAAATGTACCCACCTCTGCCAAAGCCACCACATTGGCCTGTCCCTTGCTGCCAGGTCCCTCCCCCACCCTTCCTTAGCAAACAGCTGCTTCAACTTCAACTCAGGGCTATTCTTAGAAAAGGGGCAACTATCGGGAGGGGACGGGGCTTTATCTTCATGTTATAGGCCATTTATGCTGTAAAGAAACATTCCCATTCACTCAAAGAGCAATTTCAAATCCAGCCACATCAGCGGTGATTATTCCATCCCAGGGCCTGGAAGTCTTGGAAACAGGGACCCTCACAAGTAGCAAAAGAGACAGGAAAGGTGAGGTTGCACAAGGGGCAGCAGAAGACATACTGATGCCAGGACCACCCTGCGCCCCCCCCCTCCCCCCAACACTAAGAGGCTCCCTGGTATGAGGCAGGAGAAATAAGGGCAGAGGCCCTAGGAAGACCTCGCCTCTTGGGCTACGGCAGAGCGAACTCTCTGGACGGGCCCACAGGCCTCAGACTCCTCCCACACAAGACCTGGGCCAGGATTGTTTCCAGCAGAGGGGGCTCTTACAATTAGCGAGGACACTTGGCCCTTTCATTATGAGTGGTTTTCTCAGGGAGCCTAAGAAGGCCTAATAGAGCACGTCCCTGTACCAGTGCCTGAAAAGGGCTCTGGTTGCAATGGCTGGGTGGTCACAGGGCAAGGGTGGTCCTGGCACTGCAGCCAACCACCTCTGCTCGGCATGGTCTTGCCACAGAGGCCAAATGAGAGATGGCTGCTTGGAGAAGGAAAGAACTTCAGTCCAGGAGCCACCAACTCATTGGTGAATAGGAAGGGATGGGAATCACAACGCAGGGCCCAAATAAGCACCTCTCTGCTTTCCAGAGGAGAGTCCCAAACATCTGCCAGACACCAGTACCACGTAGGTAATAAGCTTCATGCTTCAAGAATCTAGTTGTGCAAAAACCAAGACGGCGCACACGTAGTAAAATGTACATGTCACTGAATATCGGGAGATCTGGGCTTGGTGGCATCTGTCTACTATGAGCTTTGTGACCTTGACCTCTCTGGACCTCGGTCTGTTCATCTCTAAGTCTAAAGCAATCATTTCTGCATCACCTACCTCACAGGGTTGTCCAACGAGATCTGACCAATGAGAGCAGAGGAATCAAAGAGCTTTTTAGACCAAAGGTAAACACCAGTACAAGGTGTTCCCAGCTTGTCTAGAATCCTCCTGGATGTCCCTCACGCACAGCTGCTCGTGCCCAGTACCCGCCCTGCCACAACCTGCTTGTCACCGCAGCTATTAGGCTCTTTCATGGCTCCCACCACCAGCAGATGCAGATAAAATAGATAAAAGGGTTCCAAGTGGGCAGGCTGGTGTTGTATTAGAAAAGTTGATTTCTCTCCAAGCACATTACCGACCCCTGCCAAGAGATAGCTGGGTCACATGCCTCTATTTGGGTCCAGGATAAGAGTCACTATTACTCAAGTGAAGCCAGTGCTCTAGCTCAGTGGCATGTGATGACCACAATGCCAATGGCTCAGAATTGGTCACATGACTCAGGACTGAGTCACTCATGGGGTCAGCCATTCCAGAAGGGGGTGAAGTAGGATGGATGGACAACCACCCAAAATATTCAACGTGTCCTCATACTGCCAGAGTTTCTGGGGCTTTCCACAGAAGTGTGGAAGGGTACTGACTTCCAGGCTGCCTGACAGGAGATGCCCCATGCAATGGCCTTTGGCACGTGGGGGTCCCCTGGTGACCCAAGAGTTGCCCCACATTAGCTGGTTAACTAGTGGGTGCTGGAGGAGGAAAACATCTCACCAACACTTTGTTCCAGAAACACACGAAAAAAGTCACTCACCCTAAGTCTTCACAGAAGGTCACCAAGGCTTCAAAGGCCAGGAGAGCAGCTTTATCAGATGCTTTGTTCCCTCTCTTTTCCTGGAAACAAGAAACCACCATTCAGCAAAAATCTTACATAGTCGGGCCACCTTGCAGCCCAAAACAATGATGAGGGAGAAAAATATCAAATGACAGTAACAGGGCCGGCCTAGTGGCTCGTTGGTTAAGAAGTGGCTTGGGAGCGCCAGCTCTGAGCAGCAGGGCCCCGGTTCGGATCCCACATGAGAGCCAGTGACGCTGTGCCCTCTACAGCTAAGATGGTGAACAACAGCTCGACCTGGAGCTGGGCTGCCGTGAGTGGCCGGTGACATCGTAGGCTGCAGCCCCTGCTGTAGTGGGCTGCTGTAAGCTACCGTGAGTGGCCGGCCGCCACTGTGAGCGGCCGTCCAATGGCCAGTGACCGATCTGCCTCAGCGGGAAGAGCCCAATGATAATACCAACATAGGCCAGTGAAACAACGTCCTCCACGACTAGACTGAAGAACAAAAGGACAGCAACTTGTCTGTTCCCCTTCCCCAATTCCCCAACGCTGTTCCCTCCCCCAATTCCGCAATAAAATCTTAAAAAAAAAAAAACAATGACAGTAAGAAAGTGACTTACGAAGCAGTGTCCCCAAACCTGACCATGCATCAGGATCACCAGGGTAACTTTTAAAAGGGTGACCTAGGGCCCACCCCTAGACTACTGCAGTGAACTTTCTGGAACTGGACCTATTGAGAGTTGATATTTTCAAAAAGCTGCTCAGGTGATTCTCATGCAAAAAGCCCACATGCATAATATAATCTAATTTAACAGTAGGAAGCACAGGCACGAGTGTACTTAGGTGTGGGGGACATATACACCCGTGTGTATGGAAGGATATACTGTAAACTCAAATGTTAACAATGATTACTTCTGAGGGTTGGGATTATGCGTTGCCTTTCTGTACTACATGTCTATAAATGTTCTTTTTGGGGGCGGCCGGTTAGCTCAGTTGGTTAGAGCGCAGTGCTCATAACACCAGGGTTGCTGGTTTGATCCCCACATGGGCCAGTGAGCTGCGCCTTCCACAACTAAAATTGAAGACAACTACTTGACTTGGAGCTGATGGGTCCTGGGAAAACACACTGTTCCCCAATTAAAAAAAAAATTTAAAAAAAAAATAAATAAAAATAAATGTTCTTTTTATTTATTTATTTATTTATTTATTTATTTTTAATTTATTTTGTTTTTAGCTGAGCCATCCTGCCACCTGTTGGCAGCTCAGTGGCAGCTCAGCTTGGGCCTGGCATCGAACCGCTGTTGCTCAGAGCTCGCAATCTTGAGTGAGCTCTTAACCAACTGAACCACTCGGCCAACCCCTCAATGTTCCTTTTAAAATATTGTGAAATTAAAAAAAAAAAACTTTGGAAAAGAAAAAACGGGCCACTGAGCTGGGCCCTCCACAACTAGATTGAAACAACTACTTGACTTGGAGCTTACGGGTCCTGGAAAAACACACTGTTCCCTAATAAAATAAAATAAACTTAAAAAATTGTGAAAATTTTTAAAAGTACAGAAAAGTAAAGAAGATACAACACTGACATCTGAGACATTAATCTATTGACTTCGTGCTCCTGGAAGGTGAATCATTACCACCTCCCAAACACGCACAGATACACACTTCTCTACTCCCACTCTCCCAATGTGTTTACACCACAATTTGTTAAATCATAGTTTTCCTTTTTATGACTACGTCAACATTGTTCGGAGCTAAACCACGTGATTGCCTTTTTATGTTTCCCAGGATGACATGTCCTTTCTTCTAAACTTTGTTTCCCCTGAAATAGCTGCCTTGTTTTTTCTTTTACTTAGACTTCAGTGTATCACTAATTCACCCCCAAATGTTCTGTCATCATAAAAAAGATGGCAGATTCCACTTTTATCTTTGGAAACTTCCTTTGTGGGGCCTTCTGGTCCCCCGGTCTGAGGACTGGACCGCTGTTCTCTAGGCCTGGACACAGCTGTCTTTCTGGGACTACCCTTCCATATGCTGCTGGGTCAGATCTCCACCTTCCTCCTCCTCACTTTACTGCCTCTGTGTTGGAGAACATCCTCCAGTAGCTTCTCCACTGAGGAAGGTGTTTGAAACCTTATGTCTGACTGTCTTTATCCTACCTTCACACTTAATTGGTTGGCTGGGTAGAAAATTCTAGATTGGTGTGGGGCCCAGGTGTTGGGGCCTCTCAGGAAATGTTTACAGCCTTTGGAGACTGGCCTGCCCCGCCCCCTTGGGTGGGATGGGGGGAAGCAAAACAAGTTGTTGATGTAAATTTCTTGTGAACTACTTGTTGATGTAAGTTTCTTTCCTGCGCATGTGTGCTGGCACCATGTAGCTGTTGTTTGTATGAGGGTGTAAGCCCGCCCCCCTGACCCACCATTTTGGAGCTCTCTCTCTTTCTCTCTGGCCCCTGCCTCAGATGAATAAAGAGCTGTTATTGCGTTTATGCACTCTGCCTCGTGCCTTCTTTCAGCCGAGTATCACCACCCAGATGGTCCCTAGTTGACACCCTCGGACCCAACAATTGGAAATGGTTTCTTTGGAATGTGAAGGAACTTGTTTCACTGTTGTCTCATTTCTGGTATTACAATGGCGAAAACCGATGCTCTTCTGGCCCCTGGTCCTTCATATATCAGCTCTCTTGAAACTTTCTAGATCTTCTCTTTATCTCAGATGATCTCAAATATCTAAATGATGAGCCCAATGAGTTCTTATAATTCACTGTATTAGTAAACTGTAAATAAATACCTTGTACCCAATTACCAAAACCTTTTCTTTGTCTAACTTGAATTTCAGATAAAAGAGACAAGTGACTCACTCCCCCTCAGTTCATGGCAAAGGATCATTCTTGGTCCACACAAGGCCCCTCCATTCCCAATCCCTACTTGCACTCACCTTCTCTTCCCATTCATTCATTTATTCAATAAACCTTTATTAAGCACTTACTGTGTTCCCATCACTGATCTGGGCATTACAGATACACAGGAAACAAAACAAGGTCCCTGCTCTCATGGAAGTGACATTTCAAGAGCAGACAGAGACTAAATAAACCTATAATGTCAAAGAGCAATAAATACGAATTTTAAAAACAAGGCAGGAGGCTTCCTGGGCCCTCAGCTGTGCCTATTACCCCACGGTGAGTATGCACTATAATTTCTTCCCTCCTCATTGCTGGATATTTAGTTTGTTTGCCATTTTCTATCCTCATGAACAATTCTAGCATACAGGCCCTTGAGCACATGAGTTCATGCACTGGCACTTTCATTTCATGGGACTGAGTCGCGGAAATAGGATATCTGGGTCCAAGGGTATTTTACAGCTTACTGTTAATTGCTCGATTACTCCCCCACAAAAAAAGACAGTAACACTTTTTTCTCTTAGCAAAGTGTGGGCACTCTTTCCTGCACATGCCCACTAGCAACAGGTGTTAGAGCTCTTTTACATGTGTGTCAAATCATTTTACTTTAATTTGCATTTATCTGATTACTACTGAATGCAAACATCTTTGGATATCATTTGGATGAGCTTTTCTGGGAATGTTCTTTTCATGTCTTTTGCTTTTTATATGCTTTGTTTTTTCTTGTCAGTGGGCAAAAGCTCTCTATTCTCAACTTTAACCTTTGCTTTGCTTTCCACATTAAAGATTTTTCCAGATCTATTTATCTATTGACTTTGTTTATTTTATCTCTTTGCCACATACATTTTTTCCATAAGTTCGGAATTTATAGACATTAAAAAATGTTTTGTATATTCAAATATTTCTTTTTTGAAAAGATAGCTTTCTGGATTTCTAATTTTCATTACAAAAGTATCTACAGACCTAGATTATACAGTGGACTAACTTTTCTTCCAAAATCTCTAGCATACAAATTCTAAGCTTCTACTTCCCAATAAACGTCTTTTGGGATTTCAATTAGAACTTCATTAAAAATTTATGTTAACTTTGAGGAGAATTGACAGTTTCACGTCTTCCCTTTGTACCTGTTCAACAGAGCCTGTTTGCTTTCAATGAGATTTGAATTTTCTTCATCTGCATCAGTGGTTCTCATCCCTACCTGCATATTAAAAACAACTGGGGGGGGGGCTTTAAAAAAAAAAGTCTCTTGTTAACAGCCTATAACACTTACCTCTAGGTATTTTACAAGTTTTGTTCTTGCAAATTAAGGATCTTTTCATTTCCATTCTTAAGTATTTGTGGTAATAAAGAGAAAAGCTACTGCTTTAAAAAATATTTCTCTTACATTCAGCACCCTGCCAGGTTTTATTAATTCTAGTAGATTTCTAGCAGTCTTTGGAGTTTCCTGGGCAGATATTTGTTTTTTATTTCTACCTCCTGGTCTTCTCTCCTGTTTTCCTTGTCCCTGTGAGTTTATATATTTTTTGTCCTTATTTTTGTCATTTTGGTGGGGGTCAGAAATAAGCACTGGTGTTCAATCTTTCTTATAAGGAAAAGTCTACATGTACATATCCTTTCACAACTTCCCACATTATGCTTTGAGGGATTTATCCATGTTGATTCATGTACATTTACTGGGTCATTTTTAACTGTTCTAGGCTATTCTACTGCATGACTAACCCACTGTTTACTTATCCAACACCCTACAGAGGAAGAGTTCAACTTCATTGTCATGCTGCTGCAGCAAACATCCCTATACATCCTTGTACGTGTACCACCTTGTACACAAGACAACTTGTCCATCCAGAAGTGGAATTACTGAATCGGAGCACTGACACGTATCACCTCGTCTCTCTTACCAGTTTATATTCCTGACAACGTTGTGAGTTACCCTTTCCCCACATCCTCACCAGCAGTGAGTATAAAGATGTTTTACGTTTTTGCCAATCTGATGGGTATAAAATGACAGCTTGTCATCTCATTTGCATTTCTCTGATTTCTAAGTGACGTTGAGCATCTCTTCGTACATTTATTAGATATGCTGGTTTCTTTTTCTTCTGTGAAATCCATAGTTTTTGCTATGCAGCTGTTTGCCCTTTGGTTATTTACCTGTAGGAGTTCTCTACAGATTCAGTCGATTAGGTATGTTACAAATATCTTCCCCAGCAATGGCTCATTTTTCACTTTCTTTATGGTATTCTCATTATATAGACATTTTCAGTTTGAATTTAGTCAGTAGATAATATCTTCCTTGACGATTTCTACTTTTACAATCTTGACATACTCTTCCCTTCCTCAAGGCCATAAAATATTTTCTTCTCAATTTTACAGTTTTTGAGATCTTTAGTCATCTGTAATTCATATGTGTATGGCAATGGGAGGTAGGGATCTAATTTTATCTTTTTCCACACCAATTATTCAATAGTTCACCTTTTTCTGTTGATTAATAATGTTACCTATCATACACCAAGTTCCATTATATACTTGGGTCTGTTTCTAGGCTCTCTAAAAAGAATGTATAACCATTTTTGTTTTGTTTTTTAAAAAGGCTAAAAACAATAATTTACAACAATATGGGAAGATGCTTATATAACAACTAATTAAAACAAGGTGGGACTGACCTTGATGATGTAAAGTAACATGCACACAAAAGATTTACAAGATAAATTAAAGGAAAAAGTCTAATGAGCTTGTTGCAAGCTGCCCCTCCACTAAAATACAATTACCCCCTTACTATACCGTCTAGCCCCTGTAAGCTGTAGCTTACAGCTCAGACATAAGCTGCATGAAATTGGAGAGTGGTGTGTTCAGACAGAAAGGACTATTACTGCCCAGAACTTACCTGGAGTTTTGCCACTTCCTTCTTGATCAGGAAGCTGACTTGGTCCCGGTCGTGCCTGGAGTAATAGAGACGGCACCAGGAAGGCTTCCCGTCCCTGCCTGCCCGGCCAGACTCTTGGTAGTACCCAGCCATAGACTTGGCAATATTCCAGTGGACGACAAACCTGTAGGATCCAAAGGGACAAGCGGCATGAGCTGTGGCAGAAGACCTGAAGGGGGGAGTGATTCTGAGTCAGTGGAGCAGGGCTCTCCAATGCGACCAGGAGCAGGGAGGTGAGCAGGAGGAGCGGGAGAGAGGATCCCAGAGTTCAGCAGGCTCAGACACCTGCAGTCCATCAGCAGGCCGCCTTGCCACAGAGTGGACCGCTTAGAGACCATAGCACTTAAGGGGGCAATTCCAGCACATACGAGAATTAAAAAAAAAACCCAAAACTCACAGTCAGAGGCCCAGTGGACTTAAACAAACAAGATTAGGCCACTTCTGAGCTGCACAGCCTTGAAAAGTCCTTCATAACCTCTTTAAAGAGGGAAAGGGATAATGTCTATTAAATACCTACTATGAGCCAGTATACATATGTCTCGTTTAATTGTTACAGTCACCATCATGTGGTGGCCCCATTTTAGAGACAATGAACTTGAGACAGAGAGGTCAATTTATACCAGGTGACACAGCAAGGCGACTGTAGAGCTAGGATTTGAGCCTTTGGGTGTCTGACTTCAAAGGTGGCCCCTAACGAGGCACAGCCAACCCACGGTACAAACTCTAATTCCAAAGTCCGTGTTCTCTCAAATGTAGTAATTCCTTCCCTGACCAACTCAGGGTCATTGTGAGTCTTAGCAAGATCATGGATGCAAAAGTGCTCTGTCAATCACAAAAGGCACTGTTGCTGTTAAACAGAGCAAAGGGCTTCAGGCTGTATCCCAGGATGTCTCCAAAAGGTCAGATGTGGTTAGAGGTAAAAGACTTCCCAACAGTGTGGGCCGAGGAGGCTGGGATGCACCCTTCTCCTGCAGCCTGTCAGTAGGCAGCAACAAGGAAGGATGGGGACAAGCTCTTGGCCTTGACTTCCCACAGGGCGCAGTTCAAGGTGGTTTGCCCCACCCCCTCACCGGGTCCACCTGCTAAGACGTGAGTGAAAGGGGCTGCATTAATGGATGAGCCTGATGGTCTGGATGCTGCCCCGTCTGCTGGGGGAGCAGGCTGCACAGGAACTGTCAGTATGACCCCCTCCTGGGGCCTCCTTCCCGCTGGCCCTAGAAGGAGCACATGGGCCTGGCCCTCTGGGCAGAGCACCAGGCAGCCCACCTGAGCCAGGCCCCAATCAGGAAGGTAAGATGAAAACCCGGGCTCACCTGACGTTGGCTTTGTCCACTCCCATCCCAAAACTTATGGTTGCCACAATGACGGGGACCTTCTCCTCCATCCACTCATTCTGCACCAGTGTTCTTTCAGAAGCTTTCAGACCTACAGAGGAGGGGGATTTGGGAAAGGGAACTTGCATTTCCCTTGGAGTCTACCTTGGGTTTGACACTGTGCTGGGCACTGTACACACACCTTGAACCCATCACTTAGTAGCTAGGTGACCTTGGGCCGGGCACTTAACCTCACTGAGCCTGAGCTAAACAGAAAGACCCCACCTAGCCTCTATGTGGCACAGAGCACAGAGCACTAAACGAATATTAGAACCAAGACTCAAATCCAAATCCATCGGCCTCCAAAGCCTGTGCTCTTCCCACCACACCAATTACTGGGCTTATAAAAACTCATCACCTGCTGATGGTGTGGGCACAAGGTGAAAAAGATTCAGGAGTCACAATTCTCATTTTAGACCTCATTCATGTCTAGACTCCTTTTGGTGGATTTAAGGGGGTCACTTTAGTTCTGCCTGAGTATCTAGAAAAGATGACAGACCATCTGATGATCCAGGGTCCACAGGAACAAGAGACTCATTAAAAAGCCTCTGAGAGTGAAGACGACCACATGGCCTGGGCGGCCCCTACCTGCGTGATAAGCCTTGGCGTTCAATCCCCTGTGACTGAGCTCTATTGCCAGCTGTTCACAAGCCTCTCTGGTCCTGCAGTAGACAATGCCGCAGCCAGACAACAGCTGAATGGGAAGACAGGAACAACAGGAGGAAAATCAGCATTGGGGAAAACAAAACAATCAGTCCGTCATACTGTGGCCTGCCTTAAGAGAAGCTTCGCACTCTCTCATCAGCCTCAGTCTCTTCTGGGGCAGACCACCCAGCAGGGCTCTGCCACTTTCTAACAATCAAAGCGGGATCAAAGCGGCTCAAAACCCAACCTATCTGGCTCCTTTGCCTCCTCCCCTCAAACCTGGGATAGGCCTGCAAAGGCCTCCGGCTCTCACCAAAGGATTCCAGGACTAGGGAACCCCATTAAGGGGAACAATGCCAGGAAACCAAAGAACAACTGTCTTATGAAGCTAGGGCTAGTCCTGGCTAAAGAAGCTAGAAAAAGCAAAGGTCTTAGAAAACCAATAGCCAGGGGCCGGCCGAGTGGCGCGATGGTTAAGAACTGGCTTGGGATGCCAGAGGGCCCCGGTTCGGATCCCACATATGAGGGCCAGGGACACTGCCCTCACAGCTAAGATGCTGAACAACAGCTCAACCTGGAGCTGGGCTGCCCGTGAGTCACCGGCAATGGAGATGGCATAGGCTGCTGCTACTGCTGCAGTGGGTTGCCATGGGCTACCGTGTGTAGCCAGCAGCTACCGTGTGTAGCCAGCAGCCAGCATGAGCGGCCAGCAGCCGCCGTGAGCGGCCATCCAGAAGCCAGTGACTGATCTGCCTCGCCCGGGAAGAGCGCAATGATGGTGCCAACTTGGGCCAGTGAAGCGACGTCCTTCACAACTAGACTGAAGAACCAAAGGACAGCAACTTCTCTGTTCCCTTTCCCCCAGTTCCCCAGTGCTGTTCCCATCCCCCAATTCCCCAATAAAATCTTAAAAAAAGAAAACCAATATCCATCTCTGTGCTCCAGAGAGCACCCCACTGCTCCAGGTGCATCTGGGGCCCCCAATCTCAGTGCCCTCACCCCTTTATCAGCCTTCTGTCCAAGAGCCTTAAGGCAGAAGTCCTTAAGGTTTCTGTAGGGATCAGAAAGTAGTTCTTTGAACTGCACATCATAGAAGAGGTTGGCCCGGAAGCAGGGAGTCTTGAAGATGGCAACTGGTTGCTTCAGGTGCAGAGCAGCAAACACATCCTCTTGGACCTGCGGGGTGGCTGTGGCGGTCAAAGCCACACACGGAGCATGAGCCAGGCGGGAGCGCAGGGCACCCAGACGCAAGTAGTCAGGCCGAAAGTCATGCCCCCACTGGGAAACACAATGAGCTTCATCCACCACCAGGTAGGAGAGCAAGTGGCGGGACACCAGGGAGTTCAGGGTGGGCTGGAAGGAGGCGGAAGCCGCCATTTCTGGCGTGATGTACAGAAGTTTAGTCCGGGGCTTTTCTTGCTCTAGGTCAGAGAGCAGCTCCTTCTTCTCCTGGGCTGAGAGTTTCGAGTTCAGGGAACTCACTCGTACCTTCAGGGCCAGCAAGTGGTCCACCTGGTCCTGAGGGCAGAAGGGGGACAGGCCACAGAGGGGAGTATAATTGGCCCTCAGGATCTCAGAAAGTCATCGTGAGTCCTGGGGTATTTCCCAGTAATAAAACATCCTCCCCCCACCCTCCAATATGTCTTCTCTTTGCATATAAGAAGTACAGAAGGTGAAGTGGTTGAGAGGACAGGCTCTGGAGCCAGACAAACCTAGATTTAATCCTAGCTCACTTAATTGCCAATTGGTGCTTAACCTTAACCTTACAATTCTCTCTTTCTCTCTCTCTACTATAAAAACAGTAACTACCTAAGAGGATTGTTTTAAGAATTAACTTTTACATCTCAAAGGTGAAATTAATGCACAAACAACACTTAGCACAAAGCCTAAGACCTAGTGAACACTCACTAAGCACTGTCATGGTTCTTTCCGGTCTCTTTCTTCATGGTTGATAGCTCTTACCTACATGGCTACACTTCCTCATTGCTGATTCTATCGGTCCATCTGCAGGCCTTAAATATAGTCAGAAGTGCAGAGCAGATGTTGACAACACCCCAATTAGTGTCTCATCTGTTTTTCTGTGTCATAGTTGCTCCCTTGCCAGAATAAAGCAGGACACCAGAGATTCCCCATTATTAATTTATCTCTGTCCATCTGCATCTTCTATTCCGTCAAGAGTGCACTTGTGTACCTATGAGAGTAAGTGTGCATGTATATACAGATATAGTTCCACACACGAGACAAAAAGGAACAATGAGGGGTAAGAGACCTCAGGCCTTCAAAACACAGAAAACTCATTCATAACCCATCAGAGTGCTATACGCTAGTGGGGAAGCCCACATTTGGGCAATTCAGAAACCCAATATATAGAGAGAGATAATCAAATCAACGAAAATAAGAGGCAGAAGACCAAAGAAAGTAGAAGTGAAGTTGCCAGCTATAAACAACCTTTCCCTAAACTTCCTGGGCTACCATCTTCATTCCCCTAAGCCTTACCTGAATCAAAGCAATGAGAGGAGAGACTACAATGGTGATGCCTTTGGCCAACAGAGCAGGGAGTTGATAGCAGAGGGATTTTCCTGCCCCTGTGGGCATGCACACAAAGACATCCTTGTCACCTGCAAAGATATAAGAAGACAATAGCTCAGTGTTTCCTGTCTTTTACTCTTTCCTTCAACAAGGCTGTTGAAAATTAAATGAGACTATAGGTAAGCCCCTAGTAGAGTGTCTGGCACATAGTTGGGGGGGGGAGGGAGGAAGTCTCAAAATAATCTTAATTCCCTTCCCATACTGTCTATGAAAAGGGATCCAGGGAGATTTGCAAATGTGCACAAACCATTTCTGGCAATGGTGACAGCAACTATACAGTTAAAAAGTCTGAGTCTGCTGGGATACAAATGACTGAACTAAATAGTCAAGAAAGCCAAATACTTGTAGGTGAGTGGGCATTATCTGTGTAGACATGGAAGCAGCATCGCTTAGAGGCCTTTTGTTTATAAATGTTACAACGTAATTAATATTACACTGCTGCTACCCTCTTGAGAACGTCCATTTGTCAACATATCTCAGGTTTATAATATTATTAGTCCTTCTTTCCCTATTTGGGAGCCAGACCACTCAATCTTTAACAAAGAGATTACCTAGTTCAGTGACTGTGTTAGGCTGTTCCTGCCACCCCCACACCAACAAATGAGAATGGGAATCTATGAACTGTTTTCAAAGACCATCTGTAGCTCTGGCTATGAAATGTAAGAAACAGAACAGCTGGGTGGTTCTGTCAATAAAACTGCAAGTTTGGGGTGACAAGTCTACAAGATTTCCCAAATCAATTAGGGACCAAAGGAAAGGAAGTAGGAAGGGTCAAAAGGAGGGTGTTCTATGGTAGTGCTGCGGTACAGCCTACAAAAACGTAAACACAGGTAGTTTGGCAATGTTACCTTTCACTACAGCCATGGTCGCCCTCTCCTGTAAAGGCGTCTTAAAAGAGTCAAACTTGAAGACCTTCTTCAACGTGCTCCGGACTCGACGCTCAGGGTCAAAAGGAGAGGAATGGTAGGTGCTCATCTTAGCGACAGTGGCCAAAGGTTAAGGCAAAGGAGATGGCATGTGGTTGCAATAAGAACCCTCTTTCTGCTTTTTAAATACTGCTTATTTTTTCTCTCTGAGTATAAATTTGCTTTATTACACCCAAGCAATATATTATTTCCAAGTAATATAGCTTCAGGTGAACAGCCTTAAGCAATACATTCCTGAGTAATTAACATCTCCACTTTTATGTCCGTGATAAGAAAAACACTTAACTATCCCAGGCCAGGGTATACAGCACAGACCTAGAAATAAGATCACAAGAAGAAACACAAACGTCTTCAGAAAAGTTTGCAGAAGGTGGAATTGTTTTTCTAAGATCCACCTTCTGCTCCTTCTATAAGAACAGCCATGATGACCATCCTCCCCCCCAGGACTTCCACCCGTTCTTCCCAACTCCCAGAGGACAGCTCTTCCCTTTTCCTCAAATCCGCTCTTTTCTCCCTTCCTCAGCCAACGTCTCCCTCTTTTCACCCCAAGATATCAGATCCGACCAAGAGCGAAGGGCACTTGTTGGGCCGTTGATGCCCGCTGGCTCGGGAACTACTTGAAGACCCCCATAAGCCACCGCCAACTCTGAGAAGCCAAGGTGTTGGGCATTCACTGTCTGGTAAAACCCATACAACCTTGTATCCGTCGCGCAGTGATGACGTTACACTAGCGCTAGCGCGAGAGGCGGAGACAGGCGCAGAAACGGCCGTTTTGATTGGTTCCCGGTCTGGAACCGGCGCGGGGTCTCCTGGGATCCGCAGTGGCCTTTCCGCACGGAAGTGGGCTTTTTGCAGTCCTAGTACCCCTAGTACCGTCGCCGGGCCTGTGGGGATAAGATGGCGGGGAAGAAGAATGTTCTGTCTTCTCTGGCAGTTTACGCGGAAGATTCAGAGCCCGAGTCTGACGGCGAGGCTGGAGTCGAAACGGCAGGCAGTGCGGCTGGTGAGACCCTTGTAGGGAGCTGGAAGGGGAGAAGCAGGTGTCTCCTCGGAATGCTGCTCCCCTTGTAGCGCTGGAGGACATTGTGCCCTCAGTATTGGGCCCCGGAGCCCCTGAGGGCGATTGGGGTCCTGGGCGAGACCGAGCGTTAGATGCTCTGTGGTAAGAGTGGACCGTTGATTCGACTAGCGTGCCGCAAGTTACTGAAAGCCTCTGTGCCCGGCATCTTGCTGGGCAGAGGGATGGGCGAAGGGTGGACCAGTACCTGTACTCCGGGCCTGTTTGATGGGAGAAAGCAATGAGTAAAACGTACGTGGAGGGCGATAAAGGTTGTATCTTATTACATTTGTAACTTTTTAAGTAGTGCCCTAGAAGCACCTTGGAAATTAGAAAATATGTCTGGTTTCTATTGCGAGAGAGTCAAATTTTGTAGCTCTGGGGTACCATCTAGGTATGTGTGAGCTTTCCAAGGTTTCTCAATGATTGCATTAGTTTGTGAGTTGTTAAAATCCCTCTCAAGGGCCGTCCGAGTGGCTCAGTTGGTTAAGAGCTCACTCAAGAGTGTGAGCTCTGAGCAACAGGGTCACCGGTTGGATTCATGGCTCGAGCTGAGCTGCCAACAGGTGACAGGATGGCTCAGCTTAAAAAACAAACAAACAAACAAAAAACCCTCTCAGGTTGAGAATCAGGGTGTCAGGAAGTGGGGACAGATATTTATCTGGGAGCAGAGAGAGGCAGTAAGTTCCCTAACATGTCTGGGCCTTGGTTTCCTCACTAGAAAGTGAGGGGGATTGGACTAGGTTAGCTACTCTCAGTTCTTTGTGGTTTTTGAAAATCAGGAGGTTCTCTGGTGGTTTTCCAGTAATTTGTATTGTTTGGGGTGTTTTGTTGTTACTTGTTTTGTTTTAAACATAGAAAAAGATTATTTCTCAAGTAGGTGTGATTGGGAACCCCTTGGACTGCCCCCCTGTTCAAGGTTCTATTGCTAGGGGAGGACACACAAAAACAAGGATGATAGAGTACTTGCATGAGAAGATGAGTTCACTGGTGCCTATGATATAAGGTAGTCATCAATAGAGGTGCTCAAACAAAAGAATATGGGGCCTAAGGTCACTTAACATAAGATGTAGGTTTCCTTTTTATCTTCAGATATAGTTCTCACCACTCATATCACTAAAGGGTTTTCTTGCATTTCCCCCTCATTCGTTCATTTTTATGTTTTTTTTCTGTTTAAGAGGAAAAAGGCGGATTAGTATCTGAAGCCTATGGAGAGGATGATTTTTCTCGCCTCGGGGGTGATGAAGATGGTTATGAAGAAGAAGAGGATGAGAACAGCAAACAGTCAGTAAGTGAATCTGTTGCCAAATCCAGAGCTGCTCAAAGCACTATTTCATTTGGCAGAAACTTTCTGAACTCTTCCAACAGCTTTCCATTTCTTGCCTAATTTCATTCCTCCCCCTACCCCCACCCCACTTTATTGTCAATTCAGGAAACTGGGTTGGCTATCAGCAGTTCTGTTTGAAAATCAAATTTGTTTTCACCTGGACTATTTTGTATTAACTTTTAAGTTGAAATTTGGTGGGAAAGATAGTGGACTATTTAAACCAGATATCAATGGGTATTTTATATGTTGATTTTCCCTATTTAGATAATCATTCCACTTGTAACAGTGTATTCATCCTGATTGATGTATCATTTATATATGCAATCAACTCATTATTTTTATCTTGGTTGGTAAAAGGTAGGAAAATTTTTATTGTGTGTGTGATTTAATCCTTCTTAATATTTTATATGGCACTTTTTTATCACAGTTCCCTTGGATCTTGATCACAAATCTTGCCTGAAGTTTTAGTATGTGTTGACTAAAAAAGAAAAGAGAACTTGTGTCTTAACCAGAAAGACTTTAGCTACACTATCATGACTATCATGAGCCAGAATTTAAAAGTTTGGAGAAAAACAAGGACTCAGGCTGGTGCTTAGCACAGACATACAAAGTTGAATCTGAATATTTAGCAACAGCTTTAATTGAAACACTCACTGTACTTTACTATTTGTTTGAAAACTTGGTTATGTGTTGATATTTAAATGTTGCCATTAAATTGCTTTCCAAAGCAAACAAAACTACTTTGTATTTTATGCTCTTTTGGAAGATATTTTTATGCCCTTAGCCCCACCATTAATGCTAATGATTCAAAATTGACTGAAATTGGTTAGAAAAGCTTTGCAAGTTGTTTTCCTGAATTGCTTGAAGTGCATACGTACTGACTTAACATCCATTTCTATTTTCTTCAATAAGTTTGCATCATGCATGTTTTTGAATTGTTATTCCATATTTGCTTTGCTTAGAATGGTCATTTTTAAGCTTTATTTCATATTTTAGTAAAATCTGCTCCAACCCCAATGTAGACATGCTAAAATGTGATTGTGTTTGGCTGAGCTACACCTCTAACTGGGTTCTTTTCATGACTGTGGAGTTTGCGTTAACCTTTGGCTCACGGACACGCTGTGGGACAACTAAATCTCAAAGCCGTTAGTATCATTTGTTCAAGTCTCTCAGGCGATGTTTATATTAACATCTGGAGTGCTGTTTAATTTTGGGGTTAAACTAGCTCGATTGAAAAAAGCAGGTTCAAATGAAACTTCATTTTTTTCATGGGTGTTAATTAAAGGCCCCCATGCACTGGGGTGTTCTGGGCAGTGAAACAGACATGAGTTTAGTTACCTGATATGGGAGCTGCTTTTTGACCTTTGTTAGCATTCAGCGGAATGGCGGACTAGCTTGTATGAGGCCAGTGCACACTTTGGAGAATGCCTGGCCCATGTGGTGCTTTGTGTCAGGCAGACCATTTGGATAAGGAACAGGCTGGATAGGATGGGTCAGTGGCAGTTCTGTGAGAACTTGGATGGAGGCAGGGCCCACTCACCTGGGACCTAGGAAAGGCTGAGCATTGCCCTTGAGTCATGCCTTTCCAGGGTCACTTACACTGGTCATTTGTCGCCTACCTTCCTGCTGTTCATGCTGGTGCAAATGCTACTGGGTTGAAGTGCTGAGGTATGGTTGTGTGTGGCTCACAACAGCTGACGGTGAATGATGTCATGATAGGTCTGAGTTGGATGTATTTGTGTATAAGAAAAGCAAAGAATGAAAAAAAGTTCATGTTCCTGGTTTTAAATAATTGATAGTTCATTGGAAACAGTATGCTTGTTTTATCCTGTGGGGCCTGGTCTTATTCTTTTCTGGAGCATTTTGTAGCCTTTCTCCATTTTTATGTATGTGATTTTTTTTTTTTAAGATTTTTTTTTTTTTTGAATTGGAGGATGGGAACAGCGCTGGGGAATTGGGGGAAGGGGAAGAGACAAATTGCTGTCGTTTTGTTCTTCAGTCTAGTTGTGGAGGACGTTGCTTCACTGGCCCAAATTGGCACCATCATTGTGCTCTTCCCGGGTGAGGCAGTGTCACTGGCCCTCATATGTGGGATCCGAACCAGGGCCCTCTGGCGTCCCAAGCCAGTTCTTAACCATCACGCCACTCGGCCGGCCCTCTATGTGATTTTTAATCCCAGGTATTTTCATTGATGTAGACTATGGTACTGCTGGAGTAACGACTTTGAGCTGCTGGTATTCTTTGTTCTCACCCAGAACATCTCCCTTTCCCCTTCTCTTTCCCCAGTTCTGGGTCATATGATAGGGGAGGGGTTCTTGGTGGGGTGACTCAGGCTGGGAAAATTTGCTCCAACCCCTAGTTGTGTATGTGAGAACCCTCAGGCCCACTCCTTTAAGCTTAATCCTCTAAATTCTTTGTCTTGTAGGAAGATGACGATTCAGAGACTGAAAAACCTGAGGCTGATGACCCAAAGGTATTTGGTGTTGGCTCTGGTGGGTGGCTGGATGCGAACAAGGCATTTTAACATGGCGCAGTTCATACGTCTGATCATGATCTGTCCCCTTTAACACTGTGCAACCGTGTGTAAATTTTCTGGGATTAAATCAGTTTATAAAGAAACCTGGAGACCACTCTGGAATGAGGTAGCTTGGATTTCCAGCCTTGCCAGATCTCCAGACTAGAGAGGCAAGAGGCCTGGCTGAGTGCAGGAACCCCCATGTGCTCTGCATCTGGGTGGGCTTCATGGGGTCACTGTCCCCGCAGGTGTGTTAGATATGGGAATGTTTCTAGAATCAGGAAGCCTTAAGGGCCACCTTGTGTACTCTGGGTTCTCATTAGCTGTCTGGACATGAGGAAGGGCCAGAGAGGGTGAGACAGAGTGAGGTCTCGTCCAGCTGTTGGGGGTGCTCAGCCTAATCCCGCTTTCCCAGGCTTGTGCCCTTCTACTCTTCGATAAACTACAGAGTGGTCCTTTTTGAAACAACATAGCCAATCCTTGTACTTCCATCCCAGTAGCAGCCAAGAGTAATTCGCATTTCCTGTCACACTCCTTGACCCTGTTGTGATGAAGGTTAAGAACAGGACTCCCCCCTCCTCCTCCCCGTGTTGGGTAGTGTTGCTGTACTGTGCACTCAGCATTAGTACACTTGTGCCAGTTGGGGAAACATTATTTAGGAACAAACTTGTTGTTTTTTTTTTCAAATAGAAAGGTTGATTCCATCTTTCTAGGCCTGGGAAACGGATCAAGTTTTGTGA